TGACACCTGTATTGCATTAACCATGCCACCTCAGTGTGAAGCTTGTAAACTGCATTGTTATATTAACGTATTATACTGGAGAAAGATTACATTGTATTGGTGCCTGCTATGCTGGAGCATAGAACATGAATATTTATATATAGGTGGAATGAGGATTTCCATGGAAGAAATGTGCCAGCAATGTTTGCAGGGGTATTTCGTAAGGGGGGTCACTGGGGTTTGTTTTTGACGCTCCTTCTCTGTGTGTCTGGGGTAAATGGGGACAGAGAGGGGGACTCAGGAAGCTACACATGCTGAGATGGTGCAGGCAGTCAGCTACCCAGGCTCAGCTCTTCCCGCCCACTGCTCTGGCTCTTCAAGCGGCTGCATCGTTCCCTCTTCTCCATCCCAGCTCCTGGAAGCCCTTTAAAATAATAATAATAAAGTGCAATAGCCTGTTATCACCCACCATCCTCCCTTTTGCACGTCGACCCCCTTTATTGCATTAGTCCTGGGGGCCAAGCGAGCCAGGGAGAGCAAAGCAGAATATTTATGGAAGATTTTAACAAATTTAAATAAATAAATATATATATAGGGATATATAAGGGGCTCTCCCCTCCCCTGCCTTGCAGGGGAAGAGCAGTCTGCCGCGATGCTTTCCTTCTCTCCATTGCTGAGGCAATATTTTTTTTTTAGGGGGATTTATTTTGATTAATTATTTAGAAAGGGATGTTTTGTTTTGTTTTTTCCTTTTGTCAAGAGGGAAAAGCTTTGTTGTATCAGTTTATACCTTGTTTTTTTTTATTTTTAAAATAAAGAATGTGAAAGAGATGGAATCTTTGCTATGGGAAGAGGATGTGATGCTGTAAGGTCTATCTTTTTTTTGTCTTAGACACATGTCGTCTTGATTATTGCTATGCAATATTTATATTTGCAAGGGCTGCATGTGCAGCTGGGTTTTTTTTGCATTTTTTTTTCATCTGTTTAGTGTCCAGTTGATATTTGGGGGGATCCATGGACTTTATACATGAATGGTTACCTGAAAGCAGTGAGGGAAAAGGGGTTTTATTTAATAATTTTGGGGAGGATCTGGGGGACACCTCTGTGCACCCCTCAATGTTCCTGTCTCAGAGGTGCAGTGGATGATGTGGATCAGGTAAGTATATTTGCTGTTTACATTCTCCTGATTTTAGCATGGTTGATCATTGCCTTTTGAAATGACATCATTGGTGCCATTTGAATATTCATGAAAGTGCATTGGCACCCAGAGTAACCCTTGCTTGGCCACGGCCCTGCCTGCACCAGAGAAGGTTGTCTGTATGTTTTTTTAATGCATGGCCTCAGTTTGTAAGCTGCATCAGAATTGCTTCATAAACGGTCTTGATCTAACAGTGTAAAGACAAGAATGTAGAGGTGTAGTTGGTGCATGGCTAACAGTATTTAGGAATCAGAGCATGGCTTACTCCATAATATTGCTTGCATGGAATTTGACAGCCCGGTCAAAAATCTGGTGTCTTGAAGCATGTCCTCTGGCAAGTGCCATACACGATGGGTTTCTTGGCTTACAATTCGAGAAGCAACATTTAACCATCCTGCATCGTTTAAAAAAGATTTCCCAGCCTGCTTTGCGGACGCTTGCGTATGCTTTGCCTGCTTATTTTTGCACTCGAGAGCTGCTTGTATTATCGGTCGCTGACAACTGTCAAAAATAGAGTTGGAAATCAGTGCTTTCTTCCTGCGCTTTAACTTAATATGGTGCATGTTGCTTTTTTCATATTGCTGTACAAGAATGCACATCTGTAAGAAACGGGAAGTACAGTAGCAAGCCAGACTTGGGGTGTTCCCCCCAGGGATTAGCAAATTATGCAAATGAAAAAAATGGGTGTTTCACGCAAGAGTAATTGAAAAAAGCAAAAAAAAAGCAAAAGCATTGTGATGTGGAAATTTGTGCTGTGGGTTTTCCAGAACAGATTTAATGAAATAGGTGACAGCAGTACAACTTAAGAAGACAAAAATGAAAGAGGCAGATTCGACTGCCTGGTCTCCTGGTTGCTCCTGCGCTGGGATGTTTAGCTGAGGTCTATCGATTATATCGCCCGCACTATTGCTGTAGTTTTTGATGGCATTGTGCTGTGGATTAGGTTGACATCTCCTAAACAAACAGCGACAAAAAGCCAGACAAGCTTAGCTTGGGGAACCTGAAGGCAACGCGTAGACCTAAAAGAGGGGTCGTTTGGGTCCTGCCAACAATAAAAAGGAATCATTTTGTAGCACTCAGGGAGAAAAAAAAAGCTGGGAGGGAAGAGATTGCATGAGAGTGTGTAGATGTTTTATCATGAAGGTACTTGCAGACGTAGCTGAGAGAGTAGTTGAACCAGTTCTGTATTGTTTATTGTTTAAAAGCCCTCCGGTTTGTGTTATATAGGAATCTAAAGCCTGGGAGAATTAGTTTTCTATATCAGACGTCCACATGCCACCTTATAGGCTTCCAGTGAACTTGCCCTCGGTTGTATGCGCACTTGCAAAAATGTTATACCTGCACAAGCATCTGACCACCCCCCCATATCGTAATTCTCAATAGTCCCCCCTTTTTTTTCCCGGCTGTTCAGAATAAGCATTTAGAAACTGAAACCCAGCCCCAATTAGGCCTTATCTATGATATAATCGCTGAAAGAGCATTTCTTTACCTCCGAAAATGCAAAGAGGCCCTAAAAAAAAAAAAAAAAGTGCATCCCTCTCAAGTCACTGTCACCCAGTACAGATTTATCTCTTAACTATTGCGCCAATAATTAGCAAACTTTGACATTTTAATTTAAGCGCGTTAAATGATTACAGTGCCTAAAAATGCAACAGGGAACCGCAATTAATATTAGCTCGGTGACATGCATTTCCCCCCCCCACCTCCCGATCTGCCGATTTCATACTGAGTTTAATATGCGTTATGTCAGGTTATGGAGAAATTACTTTTTTTTTTGCGTGCCGGTTGCACTTCGTAGTTTAATGAAAAAAAAAAAGAAGCTTGTGGTACCTGTGGTCCTAGCTCTCGGCTGCAATTAAAAAGCATCTTTTAATTTGCA